ATTAAGCTGCACATGGATAGACCTGGCAGAATCTCTATAGTTACAACAGCAGTTGTGTCGGTCCATGCATTATTCCTCGCAAACACAACTGTAACTGCTCTTGTGTACAACAAGAGCTTAAGTGCCACTGTCCTAAATGCTTTCAAATATGGGAGTCTACAAAAGTAATTTTACACAACTTGAAATGAATATTGTTCATTTTTACACTGCTTCCTGGTCATCTGGATGAACCTTACATACATATAGGCACATGAGTTTGCATGCTGTTCTAGTAAGTCCACGTTCCAGAGAATCCTTACCCTTTGTTATTTTCTTGTGTCCTTCTACCAGTGAGAACAGCTAAACTAACCACAGACAACTATTATGTTGTCTGAATCTATGATCCTGGTTGGTTATTTTCTTGTATGGTTTGTTCTTGGTTTAAGATTCCTGGCTTGTTTGTAATTAACAAATCAGGAGCCCTGGTTCAGAAGACAGTGGGCAGGTTCACATGACACAAGAAGCCATGGTGAAATCTTACTGCTGCAGTTCTTTTGTGTTGTCTGAACCCAGTTCCAGAGTTGCTGTATAGTAGCATTGGTTCTCTGACACTAGAGAGAGAATTAATGGCCTGTTCTTATGTTTCCACATATCACAACAGCCTCTCCAGTTGTCCAGATCAAGAAGTAACACTTTACCATTGTTGGTATGGAAATTCCATAGGATCTCCTGGCAAGAGCACCCGTGGAAGTGTCAGATGCATCATTGCTCACTTTATTCTAATTGGATGAGTGATATATCTGTCTACCCATTTAGTTTTAGAAAATATACAGAAGGAGAACAGGGAATCCCAGCAAAACCATTTATTTTCACTTAATAAAAATCAGTGGGGGCTGGAACAGCTGGGAAGCATCACAGACATGCAGGTATACTCAGGAGTGGGAATTGGGACATCCACCAAGAAAACCATTCAGGAGGAAGCTGCTGAGGGCCATAGGCAAGAACAGGAAAAGGGCAGAATTTTTTCTTGCGAGGATGCATGGCTAGGCTGGGAAGCCAGAAAAGGCAGAGTGGAAACCACATTGCACTCTTAACCACGTGACTGTCTGACTAGTAAGTTTGGCCCAAAATCAGCAAGACCACAAATTTGCCATTGTTTGTGAGCATGGGCAATGTATCAATCACTCTGAACAATTTATTTATGTCTTTAATTACTTGTCTTTATAAATTCTCATTTTTTAAAAGAGTGTTCCACAGTAGAGAGCTATTTTGCAATAGCTGAAGGCCAACTTTGCTACCACGGGTCTTCAGAAATGACATGGTGAAAGCAGACCAAATATGACCTATGCTGGCACAGCTGCATTTTTTAAAAAATCAAGAGAAATAGCAACCAGCAGTGACTCAGTATTACTGTACCATTCTTGATCCTAATGGATGCAAAGTAATTCTACTGCAAAGAGTATATTTTCAAGTAAGATTCTCTTTTTTAGAGTCACAATTAAAAACTCAATGCAAATACTAAGTCTACGACATCATCCTTGTGTCATCTCTTCTGAACTCAAATGGTTGAATTTCTACCAGTTTGGATATGAAACAGAGTCAGACAAAAGTAAGAAGTGGTTTCTAAATAGGGGTGCAAAAATGTAGTTTCAAACCTACCTGAGAAGGATCTGATCTACAGAATACTTAAAGAATTCTGATGACAACCAGCCTACAGAAAGAGCAGGGGGCAGGGAATAAACAACCTAACAAACGGTCTAGAAAACAATCTAGCACAGAGCCCTCAGGGATAAAATGAGAATCCACAGAGGATCTTTGAATATACAAACTCTCCCACTTCCCATAATAGTTATGAGATTTTTGCTACTCAGAAACAAACATGAGCTGAACTACTCAAGGTATAGCATTTTAAGACTGTGTTGACACAAAGCTTTGCTCTAATGGCTGAAAATACCTTTTGCAACCCAATCATATTTTAAGACTAACTTCTTCATTCAATTCTTTTGTGCAGATGAGGTGACCCAAGATAAGGGGTTACCTCAGCAGTAGAAACTCTGTTTCTGGAGGACTCTCACCAAGACCTAATCTAGTGATATCCAATGTCTTTTCAGTGCCAAATGAAGACATTTGGCATGCCAAAAATTTTAGTTTCATGCATTAATTCATCCATTCATTCAATCTATTTATACCCTGCTTTTTTCCTTCATAGAACCCAAGGCTGCTTAGATAATCATTCTTCTCCTTTCCATTTCCTTCTCACATCTCCTGTGATCTAGACTGGACTGAGAGTCAGTGGTTGGTCCAAGAAATAACTAGAACTTGGATCTCCCAAGTCTCAGTCCAGCACTAAGTTCTATGTCACACTTGCTCTCCATTTGAGATTTCATCCTGGCTATTTCTATTGTATCTTGCTGATATTACGATTTTGCCCACATTGTTTTAGTATTTCAACTGTTTTTATTCTGAAAGCCATGCTAGGAGTTTTGGCTGATGTAGGTCCCAACTAAATAAATAGCCCTTTAAACAGAGCAGAAGTAAATTGACTGTATAAAGCGCCAGTATAAAGGCTAGAAAGTATCCAACAGCATCTTTTCGAACTGTTTTAGATGTCTTTCATCTTGGTTTGCACTTCTGCATTTCCTCCCAGCATTCTCCTGCCAAGTACAGCACATTTTTTTTTGCAACTGCTGGGTTCTAACACTAACCAAGAAAGGAAACAACTTCATGTGCTCATTGTCTATGGTCAGTGTACACACACCCATCTGATCTCAGACAACTTGCCATTACATTCTTATTTGAGTCAAATGGAATATTCTACATATGCAAATATTTCTTCACAATATTCCCTCCCATAATGCCTTCCCAGCCAGCAAAGTCATATTTGGAGCATCATAATTCCTAAATATACATTTATATTTTATGCCACAGCTTCTCTCTTATGGCACATGTGCATCTTTGGTTAAGAAGCCTACAAAGAAACCTAATTTCATTTTCTGGCATGAAATGCTTTGTGTGGGTCGCACAACAAAGCCCAGTTTTAGGGTCAAATGTCATGCATGGAAAAATTTGTACTCTATAGTCACAAAATTAATTTAAAATCAGGGGTTCTTTTACAAATCACCATCATATTCTTAACAATACTGACTTTTTGTTTCAGCTCATATCTCCCATATATATTAATCAAAATTATATTACAGGCAATGACAACAAGTAAAAAGGAGGTCAAAGTAAGGAGGAAAAAAATCACCTTAGTTATTTTTCTGTTCATATTTCCCCCACCTCAACATCTCTGCAAAATTATGCATTTTTAAAAGACTGCAGGCATTCAAATGACTGTCAGTCATGCAAATAATCACTTACTTACACTGTATGAGTTTGGTTTGGATAAAGCAAATTACCATTTGAAAATAACTCGAAAAACACTCTGGGCAAAGAGCTTGCTTTATGAATCTAACTTTGGCCATGATATTTCTTAACCTTTTTCTCCTCCATTTCCATTCAGCTATATTTCACTAGAGTAATACAGACTAAATTAATAAACTGCATTCAATTGCCACAGGTGCATTCAACATTTATTTAGCACAAGATCTTGTTAGGAAAAAATAGCAGCAACTATCAGAAAAAGCTGAAGCTAAAAATGCACGACATGAATTGTGGTATTTGGTAAGAAGTAGATCCTGGGCATCTTCTGTTGATGTTTATTTTTAGCTAGAGCCAGCAACCATTATTGCTTTCTATGTACAATATTTTATAAACATATAACATGAAATATAGCAGATTATAAGTACACACATCATTTTCACATTGATCCCTGAACAAAAGACATTGTGAAAAGTAATTTCAAAGAAATATTTTTAAAAAGTTAAAGTGTGTGTTTTTTTGGCAATGCAGTATTTGATTTAAAAGGGATCATTTTTAAAATAATATTAAAATTAACTCTGGCAGCCCAAGCTTAGGATGCTTCTTGCTTTGTATGTCGCCAAATAAATGTTAAAAAATACATGCATATGTCCAAAATTACCAATCGTAGCTGCTCAAACTTAGGTCTTCTTTGTATATACCTCAGAACCGCTTAAGCGAAGGACAAGGCCAGATGAATCTGCCAAACACTTCCAAAAATCTAATGCAGCCATTTCCAAAGTAGGTATTTAGAATTTAGGAAGCCTCCTTAGAATAGATTATTTTTCCATCTAGCCAAGCATCTATTTATGTATTTATTACTAAGATTTATACCCTCCCCTTCAAAGAAGTTATCAAAGCGGCTTACAGTAATATTAAAAAGCACAATAAAAGACCTAATGCATAAAAATAAGTCAAAATCAGAGAATATACAAAGGCAGCATATGAGCCAGAATAAAACAGATTAACAACATTTTAAAAGCCCCAGAAAATTAAAAAGTCTTTGCCTGATACTAGGAAAGCCTGGGTACTCAAGAAAGCCTCTCGGGGAAATGTGTCCCAGTATGTTTTCTATAGTGGCCCACAGCTATTCAAAGTTTGGGAAACAAACAGCAATCTAATCAAGTTTGGGAAACATTTCTTCTAGAAGTGAGCTTGAAGTACCTGCCCTGCACCCAGCTTTGCTCTACTTTGGAATAACTAGTATGAGGTGATTTCAGTGCAGCTTCAGCAGCAGATAAAGGGTAGGCTGAAGGGGGGAAGTTATTTCCCTTGCCCATGAATGATGTGGAGAAATGCATGTTTCATTGCTGGGGAGAGTTTAATCTCTCAAGAACTCAAAAGGAACCTGATGTCATGCCTGATCATTTATTCGGAATATGCATTGACTGCTACCAAGACAGGCCAAGTTGGTATTCCTTACAAATAGCCTGAGTGAGTAACTTGATATTCTTCTGTTGATGAGTAGCTCAGTTCTGTGCCAGAAAATTTATCGAGAATGTAATACTTCTCTTGATCTTCTGACAGGAACTGTCCAATGGAAAGTTGGGAATAAAAGGCATTAAGAAGTCAAGCAAAACAATATATGACCAAAACAGAGAAGGAAGCGAAAAACTACTAACCTGCTTATATCAGGGAACTTCACGGGAAAGTAAAGGACTTGGCATTTTGGCCTGATTAACTTTTCCAGATGCTTAGGTCTATGGTCAGGTATCAGCTTCATGAATTTTCCAATAGATGTTAAAAATGACTCCATATTATAAGCAGAGTTGAACACCACAATGTCAGCAACTAAACTAAAGAAAGAGAGTAAGCTATTAATTTATAAATAATACTAAAATAACAAAAATACTTTCAAGTCTTAGGGTTGGCTGGAAAGGTATTCTTCCACTAGTGGGAAGCTCTTCCTGCTCACCAAAAGATTGCTTCCAACTTGGCATAAAAAGTAAACCCAGATAACAAGGCATCTTACATTCTACACAAGCTCATCCTTAAGAAGTCTGTATGAGTCACTATAGTTTACACACTTCAGCATTTCTTATTCATTATTTCCTATAATGTAATGCAAACCATGAAAGATTGTGGTACCACACTGCAAGAAATCTGTTAATTCTTTCACTAATGCATTTTCCCCTTCCACTCAATTTCTTTGCATCAAAGCCAATTAATTATTTATTATATATCCATCCTTCCTCTTTTTCTTCAAGGAACTCAATTTATATACAGTAGGACCGCCATATCCACAAGGGATGGGTTTCAAGCCCCCCAGCAGATGCATGAAACTGTAGATAGTAGCGAACACTATAAATAGTCAGACCTCAACTTTTGCGGGTTTAACTTTCCTGGATTTGATTATTTGGGAGTTTGCCATCAATAAGTAAACGGGATTGATTGATTGCTTGGTTGGTTGGTTGGTTGATGCCATTTTGAGGCCACAGATGGGCACAGACAGGCATGGGGTGTGCTGGGGGAGAGGAAGGAGACCTGTACAAGCAGTGCTGTGTCTCTCCACAGACAGTCACATGGGAATGTTCCCATTCCCAGCCACTGCCATGGCTGGCTCAGAATGATGTGCTGCTCCATGACCAGGGAGAGGTGGAAGGCAGACTTGGGGGCTGGGCATGCAGGTCAGGATGAGCCCCTGCTGAAGTGGGCCACGCAACAGTGTATCAGGTCTCGTTTCTGGACTGCACTTAAGTAAAACTGTGGTAACTGAAATAGCAGATATGGGAGTTTTACGATAATTTACATGACTAATATGATGCCTTTATATGATGTTATATATCTTCCCTAACTGAGCATGCAAGAAGCTTGCATGTATTATAGATAGGTGAGGAGAGGCCAAGTTCATGACTGGGAGATGGGGATGTGGACTTGATGACTTCTCAAATATCATTTTTTAAAGGAACCATTTGAATATGTGCTCAAAGAACAAGTAGTGACATTGCCACCTCCTTCCCCTTTGGCAGTTCTTAAAAGAATTCTTTTCAAATGCAGCTAAAAATATTCATAACCAGAAGCTAATGATGATTCCCGGCACTTTTTCCTCTGAAAAGTTTTTAAAAAATCAAACACCGAAAAAGTATGATTAATTCTGAACCACATTAGCACAAATGTAATCCCATAGCATAATCTAAGAAGGGTTGTATGGCAAGTTAGTTTTCTTGTAGGGTCATATATAGAACTACTGACTACTGGGACAACTACTGGGACAAGAGAACTACTGGGACAAGAGATCAGTGACTCTGGCTTCTCCACCACCAATCCACACATCGGATGTAACCTTTGCAAAGGGGCCTTATAGTACAACAGAAAATACCCAACACAGATAGGTTCCGAACTTGAAATCTGTCATTTCAAGGAGAACACATAGTAGGAGAACACAGATCGTATGTCTGGCATCTATACATGCATTTATTTGCATAAGTTACAATCAGTGCATGGAAGTTAAGGTAGTACTGCCAGCACCCCTTTCTATACATTTCTACAGTTGGACTGTCTGCACAGGGTTAAAGCCATTCCTCCGCTTAATTCTCACTGCTTCATAGTCAAGAAAGAAAACTGACACTGCCCACAAAAACAGCAGGAGTCAGCAGGAAAAGCTAGGAAATATTTGAAGAGAGCTCTAATGCTTTTCAGCTCAACAACTGGAGTGGAACCATTTTCTGAAATCTCACATTTTCCCAAACATATTATTTCTTAACAACATGTTTTTCTTTCAACTAAGACAACCAGTGAGCTAACCTCTTTCTCCTGCTTCTAACTAATAGCTGGGAACAAACAAGGAAAAAGGAGACATAAAAAGTTTACGTGTTTGCTTCTGTCATAACTTAATGACAGGCAGATTCATTTCTGAGCCACTTGGTTTTTTTTTAAATTCTACATTCCATGGTCTATGGTTTCTATGTGCTTGCCAAATAGTAATGCAAGCACTAAAACTCAATCAATTAAAAGAAAAAAATAACATATGCTCACTTAGCATCTCTCCCTAAAGGAAAAAGAGATTCTCTATAAAAGAAGATTCCTATTGCTGAAATCTACATCATTCACATCAGCTCAGTAAAAAAAATCTTTCACAGAAAAGGAAAATAGGATTTGATAAAGGGGCACCAATAAGAAAAAGATATGGTGCCTTTAGAATTAAGTGGTTATGCTGTCAAGTGTCATATTGCTCAGGTTTGGGGTTGGCTGCACAACAAGCTGGTCATCCAGCCCCAGCTCTTCCCATCAAGCTCAGAACCGCCCTGATGGCATGTGTCTCCCGTTAAGGACAACCATAGCTCGGTGTTGGGGCACCACCTTTGCATGCAGATAGCACCAAGTTCAATTCCCAGTATCGTCAGGAAAAACTCCTGCCTGAACTACTGGAAGCCACTGCTGGTTTCTGTCAACAACGCTGGCGTACATGGATCCATGGCCTGACTCAGTGCAAGGCAAGTTCTGTGTTTTGCTTCCTCCTCTCCCCATCCAAAATACTACATCATTAGAAAATATTCACGTGCCATCATACAAAGCCTCACATGGTTGGACTAAGAGTTAATTAGCACTGAGGACATAGTTCTGTCTTTAAGCTGTTTCCCTCAGGCACCATGGCTGAACCCATGATTTTTCCAGTCCAGGACTTATTTATTTATTTAAAGTTTTTTGTATGCCGTCCCCTTGCTATATAGCCTCGGGACGGCTCACATAAATAAACAAATATAAAACAAATACAGTTAGAACTCGGAAACATCCTGACTGCACAATTAACACCTGGATTCTTGTAGGGAGTCTGGTTCTTTGGCCAGGTCAAATCCCTTGGTGTGGGGGATGGGGTTTCATTTGGATCAGGGATGTGTCTTTCCTCTAGCATAAACTACCCTACAGGTAGAGAGTCATTTAAGCAGAAAAAGGAAGAGTGGCAGGAGCAGGAGATGTGTTCTTTTAAGACCAAGTGAAGTTTCCTATGAGATATCTGCTCACTTCCACATAGGCTGAATAGCATCTTCCACCATTTCCAACCAATGCAGCCAGCAGCCACCATGTTGGAGAAAGCTGCTGTAGACGGAAGGGCAGCCACTCAGAACACTGAAGCATTTATTCCTGCTTTCTCCCTTCATGCTCATGGGGCTCCATGGCAGCATGATGGCAATGCGTTTGGTGAAGCCTCTCTTTTTCTGAGCCTTGAGAATGGGCTCTCTCCCTGTTCCTCCCTGGGTCTGAAGAACACCTTCAGTAGAGTGACTTTGTTTCACTGCCCTGTTGCTCAGCACAGGATTATTCACTGTTCTATTAGCAGAAATGATATTCCTTAAAGCATTTGGAAAGATGGAGGGAGTTTTTAAAATGCAGGACTTTTAGAAATACAAAATCAAAAGGGGAGCGGGGAACTAGATCCCTCTTCGTAGGTTACTGTTTATGGAAAAGCATGAAGGATTGCAAAGACAGACTGTATTTTTTGTAGCCAATTAAAATTCTTTGCTGAAACAAAGCGTCTAAGGATTCAGATGCCCACATAAAGAAGACAACTGGGTTCATACAAGGCATACCAAAAGCCACCCCCCACCCCCATCTGTTTCTTTAGCTTCTGAGGCAGACAATGCACTGCCTTGGAATTACAAACTCGGTTCAGAAATAACCAGTTGGAGCTCTACCAATGCGTTCACCATTTTCAGAGTCATTGAGTAAGGACAAGCATTGTTCCCACCCCCTGCACCCAATTTGTAGCTGATGTGTGGCAAGGTGCTGAATGATGCAGAAGTCTGCAGATCAGAGAGCTTTTCCTAAGGTAATTTGAAGGGTTTCATATCAGCAATAATTTATCAGGCTACAGGAAGAATAGGAGAGGCTGGCTGAAATGGAGACATGGTCTTACTTCTGCTGGTGCATCAAAGAATGGCCGTGAGGGACTGTAATAAAAATCACACGATGCCTTCCTACAACAGCCTCATATGCTGGCCATCAAGGATTGCAATGAGAATCCTCTCTCCACAGTGGTGATGCCCTCTAACAGGAGCAGACAAACTTTAGGTTCACTTGTTTATTTTGTCTGCTTATTTAACAGAAATTCAAGGTCCATCTTCTAAGCCTAGACACAAAATAGTTTGCGTCAGGGGAGGTTGGTGGCAGCATATTTGCAGCACAAAACTTACTTAGAAACAAGGCTCTAGTAAATGTGCTTAACACTGCAGGATTTGAATGAAGAGAATGGGGTGCCTCTGAACGCATTTAGGCATTTAAGTTCAGGAACTTATGTTGAATCTGTGAACTGAGCTGAGAGTGGCCCACCCTTCCCAACTTGTTTTCCCTAAGCTTTCCTTATTTCAGCAGCCTTACAATTGGGATTCAGAAAACCCTTGCAGATCTACTGCAAATCATCCAGAAAATAGCCAATAGATCCCCATCTACTTTCTATCCATGCCATCCTATAAGAAGAGGAAATACAGTCCTTTTCACATTCTCTATCATGAGGGTAGATCTTATTGTGCCTCCCAGTATTACCCATCACTTGGTTGTTGGAAGCAAGTCTATCATTTCATGGGTTCAGAACAAAAATTACTAGGATGTATAACGCTAAATCACTGGGAAGACAAGTGGGAAGAATTTAATAATATCAAAGATAATAAGTAAAATTATAGCATTCTCAAAAGTAGCAGAACAAAAAATGGTTTAGAAATTTCATGATGTATGGGGGGTTTTGGATAGTAATGATGAGGAATATTTTATACAGGCTGCTATTTGTCTTTAAGAATGATTTTAAGGAAAGCCATTTCATTATATTTTCAGAATATTGCTACTGCAAAACTGAAACATTTTGCAAATGAAAGCAGAACGGGAGCTACAAAAAAGCTCAACTATATAGGATCATTATTTGTCTTTCATCTGAGTTACACGCAAAGATGCAGATGTTATACATCTAGCTTTAAAATGCTCAATCTATGTTTATAATAATTCTCCTAATAACAAATATGTGAAATAGACCAAGTAAATGGATTTATTTCAATTCAAGCCAATTCAGTTTTGCAGTTTCACTTTAGGTTTGTATAACGCCTAATCACAAAGCTTTTCAGTGTAGCTGTTATTAACTTCTTTCATTAACTTATATTCAGGAAATATGTTTGTTTTAAGTAACAATAAAGGGCCACAGCCTTTTAAATGTCTGGGTATTTTACCACTGCACAATTTGTGAATGTGCAATGAAAGAAATGTAAGGATTTATCTGGTATGTTTACTACCCTCTCTCCTTAAAAACACTGCTGCAGTACATTTTAATTTTTGTTTACTCCCTTGAAAACCTCTATTTTTATTTCAGCTGGATGCAATAAAAGCTATTGCTAAGCCAGCGTTGATTAACTGCCCCTTTGTTAAGTGCTTTCAAAGCAAAAGCATCTTGAGTGTATTACGAATGAGGTATATACTGAAAATTAGTGCAATTTACTAGTGTACAAGCCTCACACATTAGCATCTAGGCATACTTCTCATTCTACAACTTGTGTATACTAAGGAACATTGGTTTGATACTGTCATACGTTCATGCTGAATGGTGAGCTCTGTCTGGAAACTGCATAGAGCTTCACAGATTTTTATTTTTTAGAAAGAAAAGAAAAGGAGAAAATCCCTGGAGGCATGGGTGTAAAAGATAGTAGAAAACAATCATACACAAGGACATGCGATATGTACCTACCATGAAAGAATCTGGTTGTATCCATACTGGAAGTCCCTTTCCTGACATTTCTGGACAGGATATGTCAATTGGTTCTCATGGAAGTAAAGGACCTTTTTCAATTTGCCAAGGTCAGGCCGAAGGGCAACAAGTTCAGTCAGGTTAAGCACTGAGCTTGCAAAGAGGATCCTAAGAAACAAGGAAAGTAGTGTTTACTGTCTACAAGACTGCTCCAAAGTGTCACCCTTCACCCTTTCCCTCCCACCACTTCCCCCACAAGAAAAACATAACCTCTATAGGGACACATCAGTGGCTAAGCCTTAATACCATGTAGCAGCATTCTAAGTTTTGATCTCTTAAAAAACAGCTAAGAACTCAAGTGGAAAAGCACTGAATCTCATTGGTTTTCTCAGCTCAGTTACAGAGAGATGCAAAAGTGAAAAAAGAAAAAAGAAAGAAAGAAAAGAACTGGATGGATTTTATTGAAAAACGCAAGAAAAGCTGTGTCTGAAGGACAAATGGAACAAAGATAAGGCTGACTGGGGAATACTTCGCTTGCCAGTTTCATTACACTTTACTTCTTTATGCAACCAACTACTGAAATTCAATATATGAGCCAGTATGGCACATGTTCATGTTATGACATAAAGCCTTTTGATTTATGCAATAGACATATCTAGTGTGGTTTTATTTTTCATGTTCAGATTTCCTTTTCCTAGTTTTTATTAAATTTCTTCCTAGCTTTTGTTGTTCTGTTCACTCCGTCCCATCTATTACCATGATGATATGAGTAGTTGGTAAAGACTAGACACATCCATATTATACAACACAGGTAGAAATACCACTGAGCAGATAAACCCGACTGCTTAAAATGGAATTTAAACTGCTATTCAGGTATGAAACACCTTAATGTCACATGGATTGGGTTCTACTCTCTTCACTTGTGAGCAGACAGAAATTCCAGGGGTGAAGTGCTTTCCTCAGTTTGATTTCCTTTGAAAAGGAGTCACTTGAGGATTATGATATTTTGGTAATGTAAGTTTGAGCACACATATGTAGAAGCAAAACAGACAAACACATTGGCCTAAGAGAGAGGCAGCCTACTTCTCAACAGGATGTTAGCTTAGGTCCTGGTTTGGACTGTGTATTCTTACACTGCATTTATATCCCACCTTTTTCAAAGTCGAATATACAAGTGGCCTACAACGATCTCCTCAATTACATTTTTATCCTCACAACAACAACCCTGTGTGATAGTTTAGGCTGAAGAGTAAGTTACCCAGTAAGCTTCACAGGTGAGTGGAAGCTATAACCTGGATCTCCCAGGTGATCTATCCAACAGTACGTAATCCTACCTTAATCCTACCCTTCCCACTCCAAACTAGGGCCACATAATTGCCAAATAGGAACTCAGTGAAGCTCCAAACCTTCGCTATCTCCTTGCATCTCAAAAATCGCAACCTGTAAGTCTTTTACAAACAAAGGCTTAAATTACATTATGCTATGTTGAGTGGTGAGATATGTTCCCTGTCTCCTTCACTGATCTAGTTTTCTGACTCAGAAAACCTGCATTAACAATTAATCCCCAGGGAAACACATAACCTGGATATATTGGACTATTAATACATGCATTTCACATATCTATAGCTTTATTGTGTTTGGAAGACTTGAATGTGTACTACTTGATTACAATGGACTAAAAGATCTAGCTGCTATCAAGCTGTGTGCCATGTATGAGGAGAGACTTCTCACAAAGCAATATGCAATGTGGACAAATCCAATGCAATGGAACACCAAGAGACAACCACAAATTTTCCTCTCAGAAGGAAAGAGGCCAAGTAGGTTGGACTTTTTCTGACCATTGATAGTCAACCAGTAATTGTGGCTGAGGCACAAAAGATACCAGTTTGGGGTCCCTAGAGCCTGCATAGGTAACCACGGGACACAGCTGCAGGACTTCTTCACCAGGCATTCCCCATGTCCTGACCCCCCCCCCCCGCCACCATTAGTTGGCAGAAAGATATCTTAAATCAGCACTGTCAATCGAGAGCAAAGATGTTCGATGCTGTTCCTTTTGTAACATGCAACAGGAAAAGGCAGCAAATGGCATAAGGGGAACAAGACCGCACCCCAGTTGCCATTTTGGCAAGAGGGGCTGGTGGGGGGGGGGAATTCCCCTTGGTGCACACTGGGCAAAGAGATTTAAATCTCCCAGCTCAGTTCACCACAATGGGTGCAAAAATCTGTGCCCTTCCTGTTCTCAGCTGAGGAGGGTGCTGGCTAGGAAAGGGAAGTCAGTGCCGGGGACTGTGCACATGAGAAAGAATGGTATGGGTGGGTTGCGTGCTTGTGTGAAGGTGATGCGGTCACACATGTAGCCACCCAACCCCCCCACCCCGAGGATGTTTTGAGGAGCTATCTGTTCCTTGGGCCATAAAGGACCTAACCCAGCCAAAGAGGATGCTTCATCAAGGCTGCTTTACTTTTCCTGTCCGGCTCTTTCAATTAATCAAACACGCACTGGCAGAAGTAAACCTCCAATTGCTTTCCGTATCTTTCCTGCACAACATCCCCAGAAAACTACAAATACAGTGAAACAAGATTTTACTCTTCCCACACCAGTGACAAACACCAGTTTTAAATTTTCTCAATTTATTAAAAAGTGTACCGTTGTTCCTTACTACTACAGAGCAGGAGTTTTAGAACTGAAACAGCACCTGCCAGTACATGGTACAGTGAACTTGCCCACAGAGGAGTCATGCGCTTGTCTAATGGACTCCTGTGCAGGGCACCGGAGGACATGCTGAACAGCACTTCCACTTAATACCCAGTGTTAGTGAAGGAAATGAAATGAAAGGAATGTTTATTATTATAATGTCGAGCATGACATGACGATATGTCAGCTGTCGTTCCACATGACTTCAATGTTCGTTTTCACCTCGGGTTATTATTTCGGTAACAAATCCTAACAAGGTGAGCTTTATCATCCCGGAGTCAATGCAGGAGGTAGGGACACAAGGTGATATCAAGAATGCTGGAAACATGATAATTCCTGACAGCTGCTGCTTGAGCACAAGTTAAATTGAACAGTTTGTTTCAGCATAAAGATGCTATAAGGTTTTACATTTAATTTAAAAAAAAATTAACATAAAACCCAGAGAAAGCCTAGTTAGGCAATCTTTCACAAACATGACATACTACAATCACTGCATAAGCTGGATTAGTACTTATTACCATGCTACTAGAGAATTAAGCTGTTTTTAGACCACCAAAGAGCTTTAAATTGCAACTTTTGTCTCTGTAAGGGAAACCTATATTTAAACTGTCTGCTAAAGTCAAATTAAAACAGCTACATTATTAGCATGTTATCTCACAAAATAAGAGTACGGTTAAACTGCTGTTAACATTATTCTTATTCAACCTGGTGCAAAATGTTAATATGCAATGCAACTCTGCACGCTCTAGACCATGTTAGTAACACACACATCCTAACAACATTATTTAAGCATTCATCTGTTCTAAATAATCAACACAGAATGATGCCAAATTCTTTAAAATAGTATAGTCAGTCACATGCTTCCTCAGTGCAACCAAAATTTGCCCATAATTGGAACTAATAGAGTGGTCCAAACTCATATGCTACGAGTAGTGAATGAACTGTTTAGTCCTTCTTACCTATTCAGCACATGTGTGATATATTACGTACACATGCATCTACATATATCCCTGTCCTTTGGTCTGCAGAATGTAAACTTTAAAACAGCTAAATATTTATGTTGAAGGAGCCTCCATTTTGCCACTGCATTGCTGAAGGATGATTAGCTATCCAAACATAACTTTTGATGGCCCAATCCTGTGTAATTATTTTAGGTGCACTAGTCCTTTCACTGATTTGCACACCTGCAACTGAAAATCCAAACAATTTCTTGGCAGGGGTGGCCTTCTGATGCCAATCTGTTTGCCAAATGACACCACTTCTTTATTCAAGACACGATATTGGATTGAAGAAGAGTCAGTAACCTGAGACTCAATGGAAAGAAATTGGGGGTACTATAAGTGGGTGGTTTGTCTGCCCAGCTGAGGGCTGCTCAACTTGTGTCCCTGGGACTTGTTGCTGGCGAGTGAGCTGTGATGCAGTACTACTGGTGAAGGCACAGGTACTGTCAGTAGCTGGAATGCACTTTATTGGTTTGAACTGATATACCAACAGCAGCCCTACTGGGACAGAGATAGCTTAGCTACAGATACCCATGTTTAGATGACTAAAGAACAGATATATTATGCGTGGAGAGCACACGTATTGCAGTCCTAAGCTGTGTAAGACTTTATAGTTTTAAACCAGCGCCTTGAATTGGGACTGGAAACATACAGGCAGCCAGTGCAAGCAGGCCAGAACCGGTCTTATGTGTTCAGACCTGTGGGCCCCAGTAATTAATCTGGCTGCCGCATTCTGCACCAGCTGCAGCTTCTGAATCATCTTCAAGGGCAGCCCCACATAGAGCATATTGCAGTAATCTAATGTAGAAATCACCAAACCATGGATTCCTGAAGCCAGCCTATCTCAGATAGGGGCATAGCTGGGCCATCAGCTGAAGGTGGTAGAAGGCACCCAGACAACCTGAGCCTTAAGTGTCAAAGATGGACCAGGGATAACCCCCAAGCTAAGAACTTGCTCCTTCAGAGAGAATGCAAGTCTATCTAGAACAGGTTGAACACCCCCATCCCCAATCCTGTCAAAGAACCAACCACCAACAGCATCTCAGTCTGGACTGAGCTGCAGTTTGTTAGCCCTTGTCCAGGCCATTGTCACAGTCAGGCACCAGTTTAGTACATCCACAGCTTTACCTGCTGATGACAAAAAAGAGAACTGGTGCTCCATGTCATCAGCATGCTGATGGCAACGCACTCCAAAACTCCCAATACCCCACTGAGCACTTTCATGCAGAAAGCAAATAACATGGGTTTGGAGAAACAAACAAATCAGATCCCAGGGAACACCATGCTGGAGAATGAATGGGGCTGAACAATATTCCCCAAGCACCACTTTCTGGAGATGGCCCTCTAAGTAGGAGCCAAACCACTACACCACAGTACCCCTACTCTTCAAATTCTGCAAGTTTTCCCAGATGGTATCAAAAGCCACCAAGAAGTCTAGCAGTATCAATAGAATCACACTCTCCCTGTCTCTCTCCTAGCATAGGTCATCATATAGTGCAGCCAAGGTGCTTCCATGCCAACACCAGGTCTGAACCTCTATTAAAATGGATCCAGATCATTGGTCTCATCAAAGAGAGCCTGGAGTTGATTGGCAAGCACCCTCTCTAGAACCTTGCCAGGAAAGGGATATTAGCTACTGGCCAAAAGACATTCAAATCATCCAGGTCAAGGGAGGGTTTCTTTAGAAGTGGTCTTAACCCTCTTTAAGGCAGCATGGGGCCATTCCCTCTCACAAAGAGGCATTAATCATCTCCATGGCCAGCCAGCTATTTCTTGCTTACTGGATTTCATAAGCCAGGAGAGGCAAGGATCTAGTACAGAGGCTACATGCACTGGCCAAGTACCTTGGCAGTATCCTTGAGCTGTACCAACTGAAACTCACCCAATAAAACTGAACCAGGCTGTGTTCTAGATATCTCCGCAAATTCAGCTGCTTTAACTCTGGTGCCCAAGTCCCAGCAGATGCAGATATTTTTTTTTCCTGGAAGTGCCCCGCAAATATAATTTATTATAATTTATTACATTTCTATACCACCTGTAGCCAAATCTCTCTAGGCAGTTTACAACAAGATTTAAAAACAATAAAATACAATAGATAAAGTCAATTAACAAGAATTTAAAAAGTAGCATAAAATATTAAAACCACAAAAAGGCTATTTAAAAGACCCAGACAAGAGTAAAAGGCTAATTGGGTCAGACCCCTGAATTACCAGGATGCTCTGTAAATCACAGAAGGCCTGAGATGTGTTCAAGATGTCCCTGGGGCCAGCATGTAATAAGCGCAGAGCATGGTCTGAAGGCACGTATGGCATTCACTAAGTTGAAGCTAAGCAGGTTTGCGGCTGGCCTCAGCTTGCAGGTGAGACCACCTGAGAACCACATGTAGCCATCTTGAGTTCCACAATGGGAGAAAGGTAGGATAGTGATATTAAATAAATAAATAAGTCCTGGACAACCTTGAAAAGCTCTGTTGGGCAGCAAAGGGGATAATGAATAGAGGCAGTGAGGTACTGTTTCTTTGCTACCCTCACTGCGCCAAGATACACCCCACTGTAGGCACATACCAGGTTTCTGTTGCATTCACTGGGAGTTCTTCTCCATATGCACTCAAATCATCTCCTAAGCTGTTTCAGCACTCACAGTTCTGTGGTATTCCACAAAGCCATACAAGTTCTACACCAGGGAGGGCGCTTAGGAGTGATCATGTTCACCTCTCAGGTCATTTCTGCATCCCACAGCCCATCTAGGGCTTCAACAGGAACATCAGTGATATCAGCTACAAACACCCCTAACACCCTCTGGAAACCATTCAGATCCATTAACCTTCAGGGTGGCAGACCACCCTTGCAGAGGGGAAAAGCCACCATCAGTTTAAAGCTCAATAGGTAGTGAACTGACTGTGACAAGGGGGCTCAGTCAAACTCAGAGCACCATCCTTATGTTAAACTGAAAAGACCAAGTCTAGACTATGCCCTGCTTACATGCACCAGTTCAGAGATAACAAAAACCTGCTCCCATCTCTAAACCCATAGGAGCTGTTAAAAATTTTTGCATGGAATGAGCAGGGAGTGTACAGACAGCATATCCTATCTGAGACTATATTCTTCCATCCTACCCCCATGAACTATTCTCTCGGCTAATCAGGTTATAGGATTTCGTGTTTCAACAGTGTATGGCAGAATTTCGACATAAGAAGTATCTGCTAATTTGTTGTTGCTGCTCCATGAAACTAGAAAAGGTAATTTAAAGATGCCAGTTAGAGTCTTTGCGTGAGCTGGGATGTTAGGGCAGCGTTAGTAGTTCCCATACTATGAAAGGAACCAGAGTGTGTGTGTGTGTGTGTGTGTGTGTGTGTGTGTGTGTGTGTATATATATATATATACACACACACACACACACACATACATACATACACACACACACACACACACACACACAGATGAAAAAGCAGCTATATGGATATGGGATAACTCAATAACTCCCTCCAAGTCCAAAATTGAAATTGCCATGTATTGTTACTTATTACCTTCTTCATGCAGTATGGCACAGGAAAAGAACACACTGAAAGGATTAGACAACAGATTAACCCACAGTCAAGGGTTGAACATGGGTTGTCACTGAACCATGAGTTGTTGTTGAAATGTAGGTTATCAGGTTATCTGAATCCAGCCAAAAACAAGCCCAGCGTTGTTTCCATGGGTCACTCATGGTTAACAAGCCATGGTTTATCAGCATTCCGAGGATCAGACATGATAACCCACATTTCATCAGCAACCCATACTCCCACCATCTGGGTCATCATGCTGGATATGAGTTACCATATCAGAACCCAATCACACTATACTGGCCCATGCAACTCTTTAGAGGGACAATTTGGAACTGACTACACTTGGAAAGAGTCATCCTAGGAATACTCTAGAATTTTGAAGAGCCATCATTCCAAGACCCTAATAATATATAAAAGATAGGCAAGAGAGCCCAGAAGGCTGACCCTATACTTCCCTTGTCTGAACAGATTTCCAAATTGAAGGCAGGGGTTAGTGTTTTGTTTTGATGTTTCTTTAAAAAAAGGGACAGTATTTCTACATTAACTAGGATTATTCATGCACAAAACATGAAGGATTACTTACTTTAATATTCAATTATTAATTATATATTAATATTCAATCAACATGTAACAGCTGTTATTTTCATGCTGTATATATTTAGAATATATAAATCACAACAAAAAGCTTTTCCATTTGTGCATCACCAATAAGCGACTTTAAAAATTCAAACAAAGATATAAAGTAATAAATGATAATATATTAGAATGTATAATATAATAAATAAAAAATGAGGACTAATTTATTCTTGACATGGTATGTACAAATGTCAAAAAGGTTTAGAAGACATAAACTATTTTAGAAATTCAGTTTTTATATGGAAACTAATTTGAAATGTTTACAGAAATAATTAAGTCTTACTATTGTAATGTTCCTTATTTTTCAGAACAAGCCACAAGGGTTGTCATCCCTTTCATCTTAATTAGTCCATGTGTTTGTTATATTTGTTATGTACTTCCATAAACATTTACAAACATTAATTGTTATGAAAAAAATATTTTCCTCTCAATGTAATTACTATATGTACATATTAATATATAACTAGTAAATATCTAAGATTGCAACTCATTCATTTTAGAAGGTGGATTAATCTTTTCACAACCCGCCTCCAAAGCAATTTAATACATATTTCATTATATAAAATGATCAGAATGCTTATTTTGCCCCTTTTTCTCTCTGTAAGAGCATGGGAAACAACTTGGCTGTTTTCAGTGCATTCGTGATGTTTTGTCCTTTGAACCCTAGAAATGATGGGCTTGTACTAGTTGCAAAAGACTGCAGCATACTAGAAACAAACATGCATCCCCAACTATACCTCCACATCCATTCTGTTGAATTTCTGGCATGCCACACAAGCACCCTGGGAATACATGGAAGGATCCTACGTTCTTTTCTCTCCCCAGCTTGCATAAACTCTATTTTCAGGGGTAGATATGACATGGTGGAGACTCACAAAGCTGCCTTATCATGTTGCTCCAATAGCCAAGGAAAGCAAGGTGCAGCTGTGCTTTCCACACCGCCTGGAAAACATGAATACCATTTTGTATATGGCTGGAACAGAATTGTGGATACAGAGGAATATTCATACATGCAGGGCCACCCTTTGGGATGTAAACATCCACAACAAAGATGCCCACTCAACTAATTCTGTGCATTTAGTGGTACTATCAAAAAATAATTTATATTGTAATGAATGGTTATATTACTCATAAAAAGAAAAGATTACCACTGAAAGTATATCGACAAACCACTCTAAAATGGACATATCCTCTCTCATAACCTAGTAACACTTCTGAATGGCACTATGCCATAGAGTACTCTAGTGTTTCTCATCTAAATCACAATCACCACCAACTATTTCAATTTCCCCAATGGTGTAAATGTGACACATTTTCCATAAGAAGGCTGTGTGGGTCCTTTTCAGTTTCATTTCAGTTTCATTTTTCAAAGACCTTGCAAAAATCCTGTTCTCTTTCACATTCGAAACATCTTATCAATGTCAGCAGCCACAAACCAAATTTCTTTAATTTGCAAAAAAATTCCTCTGTAAAACAAGTTTAGTCCTAAAAGAGTTGACACATCTCTCCCATTTATTGGAACAACTATTGGTAATGGCAGTGCACAATAAGTTTTCATTTGCCAGGTAATTAAAAATGTCTGTTTAGGAATGAGGTGTACTGGCCTTTATCCCACAGTACAAGCTGAATTTTCATAAAGTCTATTGCAACTAACAGAAATACAAAGTTCTCACTGGCCACAGGCATTCAAGATCCAGCAAACCAAACAGTCCTTTCATACAAACCAACCTTGTTTCATCAGCCAAAGCTGCCAAACTCTATATTCCTCAGCAAAAGGAAGAAGTCTGGTCTCTTCCCTTTGTGTCAATTCCTGATAGTTACCAGTAGTATATATCAGCAGCCTATGCATTTTCTTGATTATTTCTCCCTCAAGTGATCATCCCAAACATTAGTTACAATTACATTATACGCACATGGAGGTACAGTAATATAAGTAACTACAGGTAGTTTTTACCCTCTTTTCATATTGCAGTCAATTCTGCACTCTTACATGACCTCGCACATTACATGCACCCCAGAAATCTTATAAGCAAGTCCTAAAAGCCATTCCTATAGAAGTAATGTACAGTACATTAAAAACTGATATTCTGGCACAGTTTTATACAAGTGTTCTGGAAGAATAAAGGAGTGAAAAGAAACTTTGAGCACTGATGAAAACAAGATTATAATGTTCAACTGGCATTAACTGATAAAACTATTATCCTTGTTAGAGGTACACTGACAGCTGAGATCTGTTGCTCAACCTTCAGTACAGTTTTGATATCATTTTCCAAGAGCAATTCCAAATAACAGCTAATCAGATAAGGATTTTTACGTTAAGCTGTAACATCAAGAACATTTAAAAGATCTGTGAGATTGACTACTTGGATTTGACAAAAGAGACTTTAAAGACAGCTTTTATTTTTAGGTAATTTCATTCAAGCTTCCTGAGTTTTATGAGAAGTATGGTAATAATTTTCTCCTCCCTTTGTAGTTAAGTTTAGCCACAATTAATTTATGGCAGATACACATTTTCACATTTGGATGTGATGATTCACCATTAGCTATCTCTTACTTCCATTAAAAGAGATGGATACCTACAGCTTAGGTATGGTGCCTCTTTTAGTTTAGACTACCTACTGTTGGTGAGAGAAGACGCAAGTTATTTACAAGTATAAATATGTCTTCTCATCTACTGTAGACTGTCAGACAAGCAACAATCTTGTACATGGACATCTGCAACCAGATTCGAATAGAATGTGTAATCCTCATGGACAATTAAATATGCAAAATGTAACTGACACTATGCAGTCACTTGGAAGTATGCATCAGCATGTCTATCTGGGAATAAGCACCTCTGAACAGAGTAGGTTTTATTTGCAGGTAAAAATGCACAAGATTAACTCTGCCAAGTTATTTATACCCATCATAAAATCAGGTCAGGATTTCTATATTGTGCATTTCTTGCACCAAATGCTGAAAGAATCACGGTTATCATTCTGCTTTTGCTAGCTCAAAAATGAAATAAGCCATAAGACTTGTTAATCTCTTATGTAGTTAAGATGGGCTGTCTGTATTTTTACCTGCAGTACATTATTTTGCAATTAATTGTTGCTACAACCTCTTATCCTAAATGTATTCAGATGGCTTTCTGTTAGCAAAAAAATAAGTTCAGAGTATTGGAGTTTTCTTATTAGTATTAGTAAACTCAGACTGGCACTATCCTTCAAATGATTAGCTTATAAAACAGTGCCCCACTGTTCAAGGTACATGGGGAGAGCAGGATCTTCAAAGAAATCGAAGACAGTCCTTGAAAATCTGAGACTGTCACAAAACCTGAGCAGCTGGTAGCTCTGTCACCATGAAGTATCCATATGGAAGACCGAGATGTGTCAAACTACCCAAAACGGTTTTGGATAGTGTAGAGAGATGGAATAAATAATTCAGTATCTTCAACACTTTCAACAGCAGGTAGTGGATATGCTACCTGCTTCTATGATGTGCCAAAATATAACATGTGAGAGAAGGAGAAATAGGGAGTGCTTGCTTGCTCAAACGGTTGCCATGTGCGTATATTGCTTGAGGAAGTTCTTATTCTGGAGGCATATGATGCCTATCACAGATCTGTTGGTAGCAGAGTTTGTTAGTGGAAGTATGGCTAAAAATACACAGCTGATGAGCTGTGAGAGCCATATACATAATATTGTATTGTGTCCTATTAAACAGTAACTGTGTAGCACTGAAAGTTGTTTTAGGTTAACGTGTTTGCTGCTTTAACTAGGACATTCCAGGATAAGGCTCCCAGCACAATCATGAGCTCTTTTTAGATATGATTGTACAATTTTGTTATTACAATATAGATTGATCATATTATTCACACAGAGAGAAAGCTTTAAAATGGAGCATATGTTTCCTTTGTTTAACTCCTTTAACCAAGCAAACTGGAAAGAACAAGGAACTAGGAACTGCTACGTAAAAAGAATCTGTTCAAAGCTTGAGACTGTATATTCCCACAGACCACTACAAATTATAGTCTATACACTGTCTAGTGCTAGTATCAATGGGGCTTCTGATTTTTAGTTGTTCATTCTTTAAGGGCCATATTTTAACAACTGTAGTGGTGGGGAGGGAGGGCATGATTTACAAAGTGACAAAATGAACAGAGAGGAAAAATACGCATACTCATAACATTAGAAGCGCTCAGATTCTCTTGAAGATCTGTACTTAGATCTGCAGAAGCTCAATTCCATATATGCCCTCCTGCCCCTTGAGATCGGCGGCAGAGGCCCTTCTCCGGGAACTCTCCGTGAAGAATACTAGGAGGGTGAGTAGTCGGAGAAGGGCTTTCTCTGCGGTGGCACCCAACCTATGGAATGCGCTCCCCAGAGAGGTCCGCCTGGCGCCGTCGTTATTTGCTTTTCGGTGCCAGGCCAAGACCTTTTTATTTAAATGCTATTTTAATTGTTAAGGTTTGCTTATTGATTTTAAACTGACCAGGCTGTTTCCACTCTTTTATGTATTCTATGTATTTTTTGTATTTATATGCGGGATTTTAATGATTGTAAGCCGCCCCGAGGCTTATGCAAAAGGGACGGCATATAAGCTGTCTAAATAAATAAATAAATAAATAAATAAAATTGTGGAGATGGTAGAGGGTCTTTTTAGTTGCAGCACAGACTCTTGAGTGAGATCTATTTCACCTCTTCTTACCTGGTTTGAAACAGATTCATGTTTTACTCAGGTGGTCACATACATGTATTTCCCTAGCACCTAGGTAGGCTTCCTTCAGAATGTCCGAGTCGGAAGCTTCCTTGAGCGTGGTTGTCACAGAAGATGGCGTAAGAAAGAGAATATAGATAAAATAAATATTTTTTGGCTTGAAACATTTAACAAAGGAAAAAGAAAGGAAAACAGCACCCTGTTACAGCAAGCTCTATCAGCTCCTTCCCTGTGTTTGTAAAGTGCTGCAGTCTACTAAGAGAAGGGTTCCACTGTTGTGTCAGGAAGAGAAGCTACCTTGAGTGAGTGAATGAAGTCGCGATCTTTCAGGGCTAAGATTAAGTTGCAAATAATCACTGATGTGAAATATTTCAAGTGGCAGGGAAAAACACTAATTACTCACAAAATGGCTAATTATTCATAGTCAGCCTATGGATCAGAATATTTTCTCCAGCATTTCTGAATTATGATGCAAATTTCCCAAATCATCAGTGACTATTAAACCTTTTGATGGATCTTGATAATAAAAGCTTTCCTGATTTGAAATACTGATGTATACGATACCCAGTCTTAAATAGTTTATGACTAGATTTTTTCTCAACTCTGTTTCATATTTTGAAGGGCAACTATAGTACTTTGGTATACAAACAGCACAATCCTATGGCTTCCCCAGGTGGAAATGATTCTTCAGAGACCCAGCCCCATCCACTGACAGCCAGCATGGAAAGAACCATGCTAATTGCTTTTCCAAGGACATGGCTGGGGCCCAGGGAGGACAAAAAGAGGCATGTTAAAAGGGAGGAGGCTAAGACCATTACCTTATCTCAGTTCCTGTCAGAGTTCCAGCTTCCTTCCTTCCCCTTCCCTGGTTCTAATTCTAGATAGTTCAAACAGGCCACCAAGAAAATATTTATGCGGCAAGGTGGCAATCACTGTAGCCACTTCACCCCATCTATTGGACCCACATAAGCCTTCAAGCTCTGAGGCTCACAAGCATCCAAGGTGCAGAGCAATGCATCATGCCCTTAAGCAGTGCGCTGTCACATTCACACTAAAATCTTCTCTAGGTAAAATGGATTTCTCAACTCAGTACACTGCATGCTGCAAACTCCCAACGATGACAAGTAACTAAAACAACATCTTGTTATTATTTCATTTATTTATTCTTGTAAGTATTCCTTTTAAAGTGACAAATTAGGTTATATTATTCTGCTGCTAGCAATTTTTGTTGACTGCCTTACATACGTGGCATATATTTTTTTGCTGAGTGAGAGCAGTGGTCTTTACAAAAAAAAAAATGAAGACAGGTTCCAAAAACAAACACCCCCCTTTTATTAACCTATATTCTTTAGCCACAAGTTATAACAGGTGTTAACTGGTGTATATATAATACACTAATATAATGTATTATTACATTATAATATGTCTGATACAGTCAGTTTGCTATTGATCTTTCAGTGGCACTGCACCCCCACCCCGCTTTCTTAAACATGTCAATTCTAATGCCAGACTGGACAATCTTTTTTCTCCAGGAAATGTAACTTATAAGGTGACTAACTTGTGTGCTTCATGTGTACAAACATCCTTAGTTTTAATAGTTAAAAAAGCAATGTAAGGATCAGAGTTGAATGAGAAAACATGCCAGACTTGCCATATGTCCTGGAAAAGATTCATAAGAGCCTTGCTCCTTTTGCTCACCTTTCCACCAAAACATACAACTCCAACTGTTCCATGACTTTTATCATGATGGGAAAATGAAGGCTCTTCTTGGGGATTTCCACTATCCCAAAAGGGAGATAACAAAACAAATTCTACTAATCCCCCAAGCTAGATT